TTTTTTCACTGCTATTCGAGAACGCAAATATTTTGCCCATACAAGTAAGGAGAATCGTTCTGAACAGGCTGTTAAAAAACTTCGGTACTATGCCCGATTTATCATCGTCTGCCTCTTGTTAAAAAGAGTTGGCGCTGTCAGAGATCTAATTAAGGTAGAATGTTGAATCACCTGTAATTCTTTTGTTTGTTCAGGAGTTGTCCAACCAAATTAATAACTATGCTGAATCTTTTGATTTGGTTGAGCATGCTGAATGGAAAACCGTTGTTCAGGAGATTCAAGAATTTGTTGACGCTGACGATGTATGCACAGTTCTTAGCGGAGACTCGACTCCCGTTGTGATCACCAATCGGTTATCGCAATTCAATTGTCCTGGAATCGAAAAGGCCATCTCTCACGGTAGCGGATTTAAACCTCTCGAACTTTCCGAAATCATTATTGTCGGTAATTGCTTCGAACAAATCCACTTCAGTGAGATCACTCTGGACATGTTCCGCATCCTACAGTGTGTGGAGCGTGATCCACAAGACAACTTCGGGAACACAATGGTCGGTCTACGACCACAGAGGAGCCTCGAAAATGGCGATGGTTGTGATGCCCCTGTTGCGGGGGCCGCCGCCCCTAACGAACAGAAGTGTAAAAATCCACATAAATATCTTCTCTACAAGCCAACCTTCTCTCAATTCAATTGTTACATGGCTGCGGGATTCAAGGATCTACCAGCTGATGGAGTGCTTCTTCTCTACCTCTCTGCAGATGGCCTAAAATCAATCAGCAAACTCCAAAATGATCGTAAGTCTCCTCTTTTATGTTCCACACCTTGTTGTAGGGTCTATTAGTTTTTCTTATTTATGGGACATTGGATTGTTTTTTTTAACTAATTTGGTCGTTAAATTAATAATGGTAAACTGGAGGCCTCTATTTAATGTGATTATGGCCCTTTCTGATTGCTCTCGGTGTCATAGTGTGGCGCTCAAACTTCCATCCCCACATCTGGCATTATGATTGCTCTTCAGTGGTTATGTCTGGTTGGTTATCTGCTCTACACTACACTTTGAGAGCCTTTAGGTTTTGATGATCGGGTATTTTTTTCCGGGATCTTGACGCTTGCCAAGCCCGTCAAGTACGAACAATGCCTCTGCATCAATCGATGGAGTAAGCCGTTTCGTGTTTACACTTTTGGCATGGAGGGTCTTCAATTCCATGTAAAAACGTATCAACTGTTCATATCAGCAAAGAGGAGGCGGAGGGTCTTACTCATTCCAGTTTGGCTTCAGTTTCCACCTCGCTGCGGGTTTGGACACGTTCGTTTACATCCGAAATCGAATTCGCTGTTTGTTGATGCCTTAAGTCGTCTTGTTGTCTTTTCGTAGATGAATGATGCCACTGCAAAAGTGGGACATGCACACAGCTATACGCATCGGTTGCTATGGCGTCTTCACCAGTCAGTTGCTATGCCGTTCCGTTGAGTCTTAGTTTCGTGGACCAGGGGAAGGGGGAGGGAACGCACCGTGCGGCTAGTGATGTTGACGGTAGGACGTGGGTGGATAGAGTGGGAGTCCTTAGTTGTTGCTATGGCATCTGGTTCGGGCTTCGGTGTGACTACTTGGCTGTTACTAGGCTGTTCATTGCGATCTGTGATCCGCCTCTGGTATTACCTTTACCTGGCTTACGAGTGGTGACCTTGATCTGCCACGTTGCTATGACATTAAATTTCCTCCGGGGGATGGGCTGAGATCTTGACCCTACTGTGTGGGATTTATCTCTCGAGCCTTCCTCCGTTGCCATCTCGGCAACGACGAGTTGGTTCACAACTGGAGAGCGGGTTTTTGTCTTTAAAAACCTGACATGTAGTAGTGTTTACCTCGAAGTCGTGTAGTGTAACTAGACGATTAGTATAGTTTTACTATGTGTGTTAGTGAAAGCTTTGACTTGATTGGATTGGTTTGTAGACTTACGAGGCAGCGGTTACGAGGTTGGTGGCGTTGTAACAAATGCTCAACGGGAATCCACCTCTGTGGTGAAATCACGGTTCAAAGGTCAAGCTCGGGAACAGCATTGGTAGGTGTCGTTCTATACCCATCCAATGGATCCTTGCCAGTTTATTCACTCATTTCTAAAACCGTTCATTTCTACACTACAAGCCAATTCCTTCTACTGTCTCAATCTACTTTTGTATGTCGTTGCTCGCGCCATTTCACAATCCACTACGGTCTGTGTGCTGCTTTTGCACCTCTACCTACCTCCTCCTTTCTCTCTTTAGCATTTACCCAGGCGACCTCTACGCCTACACTCGTAAGCCCTTCTTCCTCATAATTGACAGTGACAACAGTAGCGCCTTTAAGGTAAGTCCATTACCTGACATGCAGTTAAACGGTCCGACTGGTCAGGTTCACTTTTCCACTCCTCTGACAGAACTTTCAAAGTCTCTTCGGCCAACCCCTGGTTGTTCTTCTTTCACCCGACACCTTGCCTCCCTTCTTTGATAACGAGCGCCGAAAAGGCAATCTATTTACCCTCTTTCTGCACTGTCCTCTGACGGCGTACTTGCACGTCTGTGGCCTCAAATCCATCAGCTTGAAGACGTGGGAACGAGCACAGGCCTTGGTGGACTCTTTCATGGGCGAGTGCTGTCGGATTTTGTTCAGAGCAAGGCATTTGGGTGAGTTGTGAGCCTCTAAGGCGCCCTTATGACCCTTCTTTTGTATTTCCCGCTCTAACTTGAACGATTATGCTGTATTACTCATCCGTCACATGTCCAATCCCCTCACATGACTGGCGATCCCGCGTTTGGTTCTGAACTGTAGGTCGTGAAGTATGGGCAACCACGATGAAGGCGGTGGATGGTGTAAACTGAAAAGATGTGGTCTGGAGGGAGTCTCTCATCGAAGTCTGAGACCCCCTCCGGTGGAAGATGTGCGCGCTGGTCACTTCCCTTTGTTTATCACCCATCCTGGCTGCACTGCTCTCATTTCCATTCCTGCCTTTTGTGCGTTTTAGATCCAGCTATCCACCAATTTCTCTTCGTGGACTTCCTTCGTGTCTTTGTTCTCCGTTTCTGTTTCTGTAGCATGGTCTTTCGATTGCATCGCGACTTTCACGAATACCCCTTCTCCCAGCCCCCTCTACCCACTGCCGAGCTGATGGAAAGCTCGCTACTCCAGAAGATCCTTGCGGACCTCGCAATGCTGGTCGACTCTCAGAGTCTCTTTGCCACAGCAAGTGAGTTGCGGCGGTGTTTTTTGATGACTTCACTGCAGCCATAATGGGGTACTGTGTCGCTTTGTGAGTGATCTTCCTATTTGCTTGTTTCTTCTCCTTTTGTCTACTCTCAATTGATATGAAGTTGTCACCTCCTTGGCAACTCTTCTGTATTCGCACTGTGCAGTCGTCAAGGTGGGTTGGCTTTTGTTGGAACATTTACCCCAATTCAAGATCATCATTGGCGTCACAAATATATGGTGTCCTGCTTTATTTATCTCATCTTTTGAGTGAGCTCTTGCCTTCTGCTAGCTTTTGGCGAGAGCTGAGGCTCTCTTCCGTGGAATGTGCGCCTATCAATGCCTTTTGAATGTAGAATCCTCTTTTACCGCTAAATCAGATCTTACTGAGCCTTCATG